AAAAAAAAAACAACACAAATTTTCTGAAATATTTACGAGTGTTTTCTTCTTTGTTTGTTTTGTCCTACTTGAACACTAACGTGGCCCTGCAATGAGAGGAGAGTGCCAGCAGTGACCAACAGCTCGTTTGAGGCCCCTCCCTCAGCAGCATCAGTCTCATCACAGCAACAGGGAAGCTCCACATGAAAATATTAGTGCTCTAGAAACAGGCAGGTTAGTAACACAAAGCAGAATACAGATCTACAGACATGATTTCATTGTTGCATCATCATAATTATTATGTTGTGGCTAAACAACCTGGATAACATGATTTCTTTATTTGTCCTGGTAAAGTGTCTCATTCAGACTAAAATCTCTTTGGCCAACAAATAAAAAAACAAGTGAAGAAACAAATTCAGCGACAAATGAACACAACGTCCAGATTCTACACAATAACATGTCAAGAACGACAGCAAAAGCAGCCACACTAACCAAGGCAAGAACTTCCTTGGTTCATGTTAAACTCCTTCAGAGGAAACTGTTCCCACAGTGTCGGCTCCTTCTGGACATTATTCCAGGAAAGAGGGGGGAGCATATTCACAAGCCTTCATACTTCTGTTTCGACTCTGGAGACGAGTATTTGTAAATGACAGTTTATTGTTTTACAAACATAAGCTGAACACTGCTTGTTTTGCTGATGTACAGTTGTTGACTTGGATATTTGTGAGTGGTTGAACGTTTGATTCATTGATTCTCGACACTCCTCCCGAGTCTTTTTATTAAGTAACTTAAGTTATTAAGTTCTAAAGTTGTTTCTAATCCTACTTGATGTTGAGTAAAAGGAGTTTTTCTGAAGATCAACCACACATAAAATGTATGATGTATGCACCACAATCTTCTCTGTGCTTTTAAAAAGATTTTGTTTTGACTGCTAATATGACAGATACATGAATTCTTCACAAATATGCAAAAACTAGCTTGGCCAGCTTTATGACTGGACGCTACTCTGACTCACTGCATCATCTTTTTTTGGCTTGGCTTTTAACCCAGACTAGAAATATTAATTTTATTTGATTTTTATTGTCCTTTCGATGTTCATGTTCAGCTCTGAGTCTGGAGAGTCTGGTCAGTGATTTTGAGTGTGGAGTAGATTTGGTCCTGGTCTCTGGTGGCTCCATTAAGGTTCTGGTAGTTTGAGGCTTTACATGTAGAAACTGGACTAAAGTCCTTAAAGTGCACTTTCTAAAAAACAGACAAATATTCATTATTAATTATACAATCTGAATCTTTTCTAGAACATTTACACAGAGGCTGAAAGCAGCTTCATTTCATCCATTTAGAGAATTGTGGCAGCAACACTGAA